CTTAGTTTAGTTAGTTTAGTAAGTTCTTGTATATAAGTTCTTGTTCTTGTTTAGACAGCCGCTTTCTGTCCGGATGTGTGCGATGTGTGCTTTCAGAAAACCGTATATCAGAAGTTTAAACTCAAATGGTTTAAAACGCATGATTTCAGCGCGATAAACATGATAATCAGAACCAAGGGGCTGGGAGCAGCAGCTCATTTGCATTTAAAGAGACAGGCCCGAAAAACAACGTGTTTCTGCTTCCACTCAAAATAGGCATTTGCAAAATGATATAATAAATGATCTGTGGAGTATTTTGAGCTGAAACTTCACAGACACATTCTGGGGACACCAGAGACTTATATTACATATTGTAAAAAGGGGCATAACATGTCTCCTTTAAGAATAGGGTTGGGTATCATTTAGGGTTTTTTCGATACCAGTGCCAAATTGATACTTTTAAAACTAATTAAAAATTCGAACATATTTTTTGCCTCATTCTGTGACAAGAAGCCTCATCAGATCACAAAAGGTAGCATTTGACTGGTGTTGTGGAGTAAAAAGGTTATAATTTTCTCTTTTGTTGGACAACAGGTTTAGAAATGTGAATACAAGGGAGGTTTAGCTTTAGGCATTTTAATTTAAGCATGTTTAGCTTAGTTAACGGAAGGCTACCTGCTGCCATCAGAGCAAGTGCAATTACTGCATTCACGCGCTCCTCGGATGCTCTCATTTCCCGAGTTGTGCTTTATGGTCGGAATGTGAAAATAACATGGACACTCTCGTTACTACAAAGATTAGTTGGATTTGTATTATTAGAGATTTCCGACTTGAGTTCATGTGCATTTTCTCAGTCGGGAAATTATTTTTCACGTGCGGTGCCGGTGATAATGCTTCTTACGTCCGTTTCGGAGAACCAGAGGACAAATATTTCAATCAATCGCTCAGGCATGGCACCGAAATCTGTGTTCTGATTCGGTTCTAGTACATACCGGTTACATATGTACCGGTGCGATATTGGTACCGGGTTTCGGTACCCAACACTACTTAAGAACGAAGCGTTTAAAGCATTTTTCACATTTCAATAATATTTTTTAAATCTGCAGTTAAATTTGACAAAGCCTCATAAATGTTTTTTTTTATGCTCTCAAATAGTTTTTAAAATGTGTTTTAAAACTGCAATCAAATCTGACAAAAAAAGCCTCAAGAATGTTTATATATACAGTGGGTACGGAAAGTATTCAGACCCACAATGACCCTAAGCACACAGTTAAAATAACGAAGGAGTGGCTTCACAACAACTCTGTGACTGTTCTTGAATGGCCCAGCCAGATCCCTGACTTAAACCCAATTGAGCATCTCTGGAGAGACCTAAAAATGGCTGTCCACCAACGTTTACCATCCAACCTGACAGAACTGGAGAGGATTTGCAAGGAGGAATGGCAGAGGATCCCCAAATCGAGGTGTGAAAAACTTGTTGCATCTTTTCCAAAAAGACTCATGGCTGTATTAGATCAAATGGGTGCTTCTACTAAATACTGAGCATTTTTCAGTTTTTCTTTTTTAATAAATCTGCAAAGATGTCAACAATTCTGTTTCTTTCTGTCAATATGGGGTGCTGTGTGTACATTAATGAGGAAAAAAAATTAACTTAAATGATTTTAGCAAATGGCTGCAATATAACAAAGAGTGAAAAATTTAAGGGGGTCTGAATACTTTCCGTACCCACTGTATATATATATATATATATATGTCATTAACGTTAAAAAAAAAGCATTTTTCACATTTTTATAACATGTTTCATATCAGCAATAAAAACTGAAATGAAATGCCTCATAAATGCTATTTGTTGCACTCAAATATACATTAATTTCACATTTAATAAAACTTCAAATTAATAAAATTTGACGAGAACTATTTTATACATGATGTTTCTTATGCTTAAATAATACTAAAAAAGTGTTGATTTCAGGTTGGTTCAGCCAATGCTCATGTGCAGTTATAAGTGTGAGTCTCAGATCTGTTGCTATGGTAACCATAACTTTACAAGGCGTCATCGGATGCAAAATTCACTTTTGTTGTTTGAACATAAATGTGTGTTGGAAGTATGTGTGTACACATCCACCCTATAATGATAAAAATCCACCCAGTGGTTTTTTTTAAAATCCCTTTTCTCAGATCAAGCTGTTCTGAGATTCCTGTCAGAATGACGTAGTTCTGCGCAGGCCACTCTCACGATAGTTGATTGACAAGGCCGTCTTACCTTAGATTTTGAAAGGAATGTGCCGATCCCCGATCTGCCTAAATGCGTTTAAGTTCGCGCGGATCATTCATGATCCAGCTTCATCTACAGAAGAAGTGAGTATAAGGGTTTTTTATGAATCTTTGCAAATCGCTTTTACTAATATGTGCTAGTTAGCAAGTTTCACGGCTGAAGTTTACAGTCTGTTCGTCACCCCCATAGACATGGTCACCGCACGGAAGAGAGGGGCGGGGTCAGCAGAGCTCATTAGCATTTAAAGCAACATGGTAAAAAGGGTGTTTTTTACACTACCATTGAGAAATTTTAACCAAAGTATGTTATAGACTTTTAATTAAGCCCCTAAAGAATCATATCAACTTGTGGAAAACGGGCATCCGCTGACCCCTTTAACAGAAACTGCAGTAACAGGATTGTCTCTTTCATTTAGAAGGTGGGGCTTCCTTTGCTAGAGCTGCCATATATGGGCATTCCAGCTTCTGAACCATTTTTTTATAACAAATAGAGTCTCTTGTAACAGTACCTCTGCTTCAGTCTCTCCAACAGACTCGAAACTCAGATCGGGTCGGAAGACGTTCGGCCCCCGCGGATACTGAACAAGATACAATTTCTCTAGAGGAGAAAAGATGATCAACACACACAGAAAGAGCAGGAAAGAGAATTTATACAATTGATTTATACAGTAAAAATCAGACATGCTGTTCAAATGTTCCTCTAACTCAAAACAGCAGAGCAAAGTTAGATTCCCATGCAATGCATTAGCTGAAACACAAGTCGTTTTGCACAAAAGCATCTGATAAATGTGTAAATGTTCAGATTCTACATGTATAAAATACTCTATCTTTGGGATACAGGTGGACTGAATGGGTCAGTTTGTACCTGCCATATCGGAGCAGCAGCACGTGTGAAATGGGTTCTTCCTGAGGATGATCTCCTGCGAGATGATGGCAAAACTATAGACGTCGCCCTTCTGAGAAATACCCTGAACACGCATGTGCTCCGGCGCCGTCCACAGGTCTGGCAGGACAGACAGACTTCATTCATTCATCTCTTGATATGTCGGCAACGACTTATAGAGACTCTGAACATGAAATTAAATCTGGGCATCACAGCAGACGTTAATAAGACTGTCAGTAGTATTTAAAGGAATAGTTCACCTAAAAAGGAAAATTTGCTGAAAACTATTCCTTGGGCAAACTATTCCCTTAGTTTGAGATATATTTTATAACAATCTTCATTATTTCTGTAGTTGAACTGTGTTACGTGTCTCTCATGCGCAAAGAAACAGGAAGTGACATCACTAACCTTTCCCGGGCGTGAGGATGGTGTTGCAGCCGAAGTCGGTGATCTTCACCACCATGCGATTGTCCACCACACAGTTGGTGGATTTCAGCCGGCCGTGAACACCAACGTTACTGGAGTGCAGGTATGACATGCCCTGACCAAACAGTCACGGGCAATGACATCATCAGAGGGCAAAGGTCAAGTGTGTCCAATCACAAATATAATGACTGTTTCCAAACATATGGAGGCGCATGTATGTCCTATAATTAATATTATATTATTTTCTCATAAAACTTAGATGTTTTGAAAATTTAAACTATTTAACTCTTAAACTAACTTCTTTGAACTGAATTTCGAAACGCTCACACTTAAATTAAACTAAACTTAAACTAGCTGAAATAAAATAAGTTTAGGTATTTTAATGATTAAATCCTTACATATAAATTTTGAATTAGATTTTATTTTTATATATTGGTTTCATTTTAGTAATTTTGTTATTTTATTATATGTTGTTGTTTCACATTTTATATTGTTTTTATTATGTTTTATTTTATTAGTTTTAGATATTTGAGGACTTCAACTTAAACTAATGATGCTAAATGAAACTAACTGAAATAAGAATAAGTTTAAATAAATATAACAAGAATAAAAAATATATAAAATAATTTTATTTCAGGTAATGTTTAAGTATTAAAATGTTTTAATGGTTTTAGTTTTAGTTAATGATAACAACCCATATGTGTGTATACATTTAGTATCACTAACATGCTATCAGAGTTTTTGTTAATATTTAGAATTAGGTTTTATTTTTATATTTTCTGTTTTCATTATAAATTTAGATTTATTAATCTTGTATGTTTTAATTTTTTAAAAATATTGTTATTATTTTTAAATATTATTATATTATAGGATTTTTGTTGTAATTAGTTTGTTATTTTAGCAGTTTTAGTTTTTTTAGTATTTTAACCCAGCCAAACTGAGCAATTGATGGAGAAGGGCCTTGTCTAGACTGGTGACCAAGAACATGATGGTCACTCTAGTTGAGCTCCGTGATCATATGTGCAGATGGGAGAAACCTACAGAAGGACAAACATCACTGCAACACTCCACCGATCTGGGCTTTATGCTGGTGTGGCCAAACTCAATCCTCTCATCAGTGAAAACACATGAAAACACACTTGGATTTTGCAAAACGGCACCTAAAGGACCCTCAGACTCTGAGAAACAAGATTCTCTGGTCTGATGAACCTCAATTCTAAACATCATGTTTGAAGGAAACCAGCTCCGCTCATCACCTGCAGAGTACCATCCCAAAAGTAAAGTGTGCTGGTAGCAGCCTCATGCTGTGGGGCTGTTTTCAGTGGGAGGGACTGGGAGACTGGTCAGGGTTGAGGGAAAGCTGAATGGAGCAAAGTACAGAGATGTCCTCAATGAAAACCTGTTCCACAGCGCTCAGGACCTCAGTCTGGGCCGAAGGTTCACCTCCCAACATGACAATGATCCTAAGCACACAGCCAAGGCAACACAGGAGTGGCTTAGGGACAACTCTGTGAATGTCCAAGAGTGGCCCAGCCAAGAGCCCCGACTTGAACCCTATCGAACATCTCTGGAGAAACCTGAAATGGGCTGTCCACCGACGGTCCCCATCCAACCTGACTGAGCTTGAGAGGATTTGCAAAGAAGAATGGCAGAAAATCCCCCAATCCAGATGTGCAAAGCTTGTTGCGTCATGCCCAAAAATACTCAAGGCTGTAACTGCTGCCAAAGGTGCTTCAACTAAGTACTGAATACTAATGTAAATGTGATATTTCAGCTTTTTCTTTTTAATAAATTTACAGACATTTCTAAAATTCAGTTTTCACTTTGTCATTATGAGGTATGGAGTGTAGATAAATGAGAAAAAAAACATAACTGTTTATAGGCTGCAGCATAACAAAAAAGTGAAGGGGGTCTGAATACTTTCTAAATTGCACTGTGTGTGTTATATATATATATATATATTATTTTTATTTTTATTTTTTTTTCAAAATTGAGCTATTCACATATTCTTATTCTGTGACAACTTATTCACATTATGTGATGTTTCTTTTGTAAGCCGTGTACATTTTGGGCCTTTTTTTAAGAAAACAAAAAGGGTTCTATCTACAGAAGTCTATGGAATGCAAAAACTTTGAAGCTCAATATCTCAAAACTGCTCAGAATGCAGATAGAACCTTATAATTCAAGGCGGCGATATACTATATATATATACATATGAAAAGTTCCAATGCAAAAGCCTCTAAAAGCCATCTTGGTCAAAAATGAGATAACGATACTGATACATAGTACATGTTCATCAAGTACTTTCACTTCAAATGCGCTAAATCTCAGCCTCAACCCATTCAGAAGTACCAGTACTTACATAGAAACCTTATACATAGTAGCCAAAAAGAAATGCTAAATTTAAAGAAAAACGTCAGACGTACTTAGAGGCTTTGCATCTGAACTCTTCATATATATATATATATATTGTCAATGTGCTGTTGTGGTAATGACAGTACCTTCGGCCATGTCTCATCTGAGTTATTGCACATTATTTCCTCCTCTGGCTCTTCATTAATTGTTTTTCCAGCAGGAAATCGAATGATAACAGTCTGCCTGAGCTCAGAGCACTCCCAGAACGGATTAGATATAGCCCACGTCATGTGTTGTTTAGCAACAAAAATACATTTTTGTTTTTAAGCATGGAATTTTATCTCCAAAATGGACGTAATCCAATTTCCATTGAATTGCTCCTAGTGTTTTTCTCTCAGATCAGACTCATAAGAGCTGACAGAAACAGAAGTGTTCTGGCGGGGGACAAAATTCGGTGTCTGAACCAATACAGGCCTGCATCTAAAACCACACCGCGCCGCCGATTTATCACCTTTTAACCCAAGTGTCAAAAGTGATTGCCAGTAAGGTTACAGTCTTTGCTTTTCCATAATGTGGGTGAGAGGGACAGGGTTATAGATTGCATTTATCCACAGGAAAACAATTTTTAAATAACCAGTCAAAAATATTATTTAACATCACTAAATACATTGATTTATACCAACAAAACTCTTTTTACAGGTTAAATCAGCACACACATGTGTGATTTAAATTAGTCTTTCTGGGGTTTGAACCCACAACCCTTCAGTGATCATCTGAGCTCTTTACTCGTGTCTGCACTGGTGTTTACATCCGATGTTATTCATGACTTTTTTGTTTCCATTCACTGACTCATCTATGATCATCATAAAACCATCAGCGAGTGTTAAACTGTGTTTTTATGGACGCAGCAGTAAAAGACAGTGTACGCCGCGTACATGATGAAACACACACTCACCTTTGCGATGTCGTACATGACAGAGATCTTAAACTCCAGATCCATAAAACTCTCATCAGGATACGAGATCTTATCGTTCAGCACGTACTAAAGGAACACACACACACGAGAGTCATGTGATGATGGATGGGATGGTTCAGTCTGTGATTTATGAGTGTGATGATTGTTTTACCCGCAGCGATCCTCTCTCACAGAATTCAAACACCCCGAAAACACCACAGTCGAACTTCGCCGTCCCATAAAACTTCGTCAGATTATAATAATCGATATGCAACAACTGAGAGAAAAAGAAACAAGCTTTGTTACAGATATTTAGGTGACCATATTATATGCAAAACAAAATAATTGAGTGAATCTCACAGAAATGAATATACAGTATATATATATATTAGTGCTGTCAAACGATTAATTGCGATTAATCGCATCCAAAATATCAGTTTTTGTTTACATAATGTGTGTATATATTTAATATGTATATATAAATACAAACACATGCATGTATATATTTAAAATATGTTATTTTTATATATTAAATATATTTTTATATAATAAAAAATAAAAGAATATAAATATCTAAATGTAAATACATGTGAATATTTTCAAAATATATACTGTATGTGTGTTTATTTATATATGCATAATAAATATACACAGTACACACATATTTTATATATACAAAAACTTTTATTTTGGATGCGATTAATCGCGATGAATCATTTGACAGCACTCATTTTAATTAATATTTTATAAATATTTTATAAGTTAATTTATTTTTATGTTTTTTTCTATTTAATGTAATTTAATAAAATTACAGGAAGCAAAGTAGGAGAATGGGGGTGAGACTGGGAAAGGATCACAAGCTGGGACTTGAACTTGAGTTGCCGAAAACGCATGTGTGCTGCATGTCGGTGCACTGCCCACAAGGCAATAGTCTCTGACACAGATTATATTTTATAGAATTTTGAATGTTGTTTTGTATATCTTTTGCCCCTAAAAAACATGTTTGAATGTGAACTCAGGACAAGCCTAATTATACAGCATGTTTGTTGCTGACCACCTCCTGTCTAGTCCACTTTGGAAATGTGTGGTTGTGCACATCCATAGTGGCTATATTGGTTTGCCTGTTGGTGCCCAGCTTGATGATGTTCCCCAGTTTGACGGCCTCATTTTTGCGATGGAGATGGAAAGGGCAGGGGCGAATCCAGTGCAGTGGCGGGTGGAGCTAATTGTGCTCCATTCATCATCAGGTGGCATCCAGGGACCCAGAGAGGACAGGGCAAGGAGAGCAGGGGTAACACAAGCGATCTGAGGTGAGGAGGGGGGTCGCTCCAGGGGTGAGGGGCATCATCAGAGAGGCTGGAGAACAGGGGCAACTATCAGGTTGACCTTGGGGCTGATGAAGTGCCTTGCCCGCTGGGTGCGGAGGCCTGGGGAGTAATGGCGAAGGTGAACCCGGCTCTCCAGCGGATCCATTAGAGCCTAATGCTGTTGTTTTTAGCAGGGAGCGGTGGGAAGCAGAGGTCGGACGTAAAATAAAGCTTATTCTCCCTGTTTACGGTGTTATTCATCTGCACGTCATGGCACAGGAACATACCGGGAGCGCAGGGCAATGGGGCACTGGTGTGGAAGCAGTTATAGTACAGTGTTTTTTTTTTTTGCTCCTTAAAACTGAGTGTGCTTACCATAACTAGAACCTTTCTTTTGTGTCTGATTATAGAGAGCTAATGTTGGAAGGGTCGAAGTAGAGGTTGAATATATATCGTTAACCTGAGTGAATAGTGCAGCATATCTCTTTAATTGCTACTATGAAAGACAATGTTTGCTTAATCTCCACATGAATTGGTTAGCTACAATTTACAGTAAACTAGCACCTTTATATTGTGTAGTCTCTGATGAAAAAACAGCTTTGATTGCATGAATTTCTAGAAGCTGGTTGATCAAGCCTGGCTAGTTTAGCCTGGAAAGACCCATTTCAGAAGGTGTAGACTCAATCAATGTCAATCCTGTTCCTGGAGGTCCAGTGTCCTGCAGAGTTCAGCTCCAACCTGCCCCAACACACTTGCCTAGAAGTTGGTCTTCTTGAAGATCTTGATTAATTGGTTCAAGTGTGTTTCATTTGGATTGGAGCTAAACTCTGAAGTACAGTGGCCCTCCAGAAGCAAGATTGGACACCCATGAATTAGAGGAACTCAACAACCATTTGAAGACTTCCTTTAGGAAAGACCTTACCTGCAACAAACACCTAGAAGAGTCCTTGCCATCTACCAGCTTGTCAGCTGACTACATTAAGTCTGCCCTTAGTACTTATCGTCCTCCTTCGTGTCCACACTTCGGTGAAATTATGCTACATACATAGACTGTTGGATAGTTGTCCACTAAAGTCTGCAACAGCGCCATCTTCATAAAGTGTGGATGGAGTGTGCATCAAGTTAGGTTGGGACCCATATGACAAGTGGAACCCCTATGTACTTCACATACAAGATTCAAGTGAAGGCCACATAACCACAAGTCCACATAAAGTGTGGCATCTGGGACAGGGCCATAAGAGTTCAGAACGATGCAACTGGAAACCCTCGAAGAGTATGAGTACAAAGTCATTTGTATTCATATTAAGTTGTACCAAAATCATGATACAACACAAGACTATAAAGAAGATGCTGGAGGATGCTTAAGGCTTGGTTCTGATGATGAGAAATCTTCATCTAACCTACAAGCAAGTGTAATCTGGTATAAGTATAATGCAGTATAAGTATAATGCAATAAGTGTAATGCAGGCTTTATCCAGGTAATCACCGTAGGATGTTACCAGAGTAACTGGAACCTTGAATGATGGTGCAGATCTTGTTAGCATGGCAGTTAATCTTGTGGTTGGTAGATCTGTTCATATGATCTTTCCAGCTGCCTTCACAATCTCCCAGGAGAACCGTGTATCCTTAGCATTTGTATTGCCAAACCATATTGCAATGCAGCCAAACAGGATTTCTACGGTCCTGTGATTATGGGTTAAGGGTTACAGGTGCTCATGTTCAGGGTTTATGCAAGGTCAAATTGGCTTCCGAGGAATCACAAGGAGGATAATCTCAATATGGTACCAGACGTTCCCCATCGCTGTTTGCAATCTGAAATCCGGGGATTTTAGAGATTATTCTGTTCATATGGGAAATAACCAATCCTTCAGGGTATTTCCTGACAACAATGGCAAGGGGGACTTCTACCTTGCTGTGAATGTCATTGTTCATCCACAGGTCACCCATAAAGATGAATTCTTCTCTGGAGAACACAGCCATCCGGGAAGAATTCAATGTAGTTTGTGACATTACACACATATTAACCAAGGTCATGAGTTTCGCCTTTGACTACGCTTTTTTCTTAGCTAGTCTGCAAGTCTGCTGGTGGGTGTTTATGGGTGAGAAAGAGCAAGTATGTGTGTGAGAGAAACAGAGAGAGAGAGAGAGAGAGAGAGAGAGAGAGAGAGAGAGAGAGAGAAA